AAAACATCGTGAGGAAACCTAAATGTCTAAGAGAACTTAGCAAGTGTTCGACACAACTGTGTGGTGAACTATGGCCTGATCCTCCTCATATTGCCCATGCCCAGTAGTGGGACGTTAAAAAGGGCTGTATGCATACATACATATAAGTAATAACTATAATACTTATAATACATAATTAAAAATATGTGATCTATTAAATTACTTTAATTGTGTCTTGGACCATCGACCTTGTAATTAAATACCAGCCAAGCGACCTAGACGATATATATATATATAATATATATACATATATTTATTACCACCGCATTGATTGGTTTTCTTAACTTTTGTATTAGTTATATTTGAATTTGGATGACAGATATGAGTATATATGTAATTATTATAAAATTTAAGAAGTGAATAACATCAATGCTTGTTACATTTTTTGAAATTCCATAAGAAAGTTGAAAAAATCGATATAAGTTTAATTTTGGGTAGTTTTTTTGTTATTTTCATATATTATGTACCTAATCTAATATATAAATATCTCGTGTCATGGTGTTTGTGATCGACATCCTCTGAAACGATGGGGTTAATCTCTGGGTCTACTAAACCGATTTAAATGAAATTAGGTGAAAACATAGTTTGAGACCCTGGGAAGGACATAGGATACTTTTTATCTGGGAAATCATCTCTTAGGGGATAAGGATTAGGATGAAAGTTTGTATGGGGAAGCAAGCTAGGGACGAACGCGAGCGAAGCGAGGTGAGCTAGTATTATAAAAATACATAGCGACGAACCCGCTGTATAACATAAAGCCAAAGAGTTTTTTGTAGATTGAACTCGTATTGCTAGTATAGTTATAAACATGTATAAATATTATAAGTACTTATGGTATTTTCCGAAACATTTCCGTACACATAATATATAGGTACATAAATATTTCAGTCATAAAACAAAAGAATAAAATATCATACCTGTGCAACGTTCGTGTTTCCAAATATTTTTCAATATAGCAAACTTTCATACTTTTTTATAGTTCATACATAATGACCAATCACTATAGAGCTTTAATTTTCTTATGCTGTCTACTTCAATTAAAAAAAAAGAAAAAAAAACAAATTTTTAAACACAGAACATAGTTGACGGCACTCAATAACGGAATTAAGCCCTAGTAAACTCTACAACAGTGTATGCGGACAGTCTGGCACAACTTATTTAAAGAATAGAATAATTTAGTGTTAATATTTTTTTTAAATAATTTAAGTTTTTGGATAAGTACTAAAGTGATTAATTCTGGCTGTATATTGTATTGCTATGAAATATCTACAGTAATCTGCAAAAATGGGGGTGCACTTGAAGGAAAATAAATAGAAGAAGTTTAAGAAATAAAATTATATGAGTAAAATCCATGTTTAAATTTAGATATCTTCAAAGAAATGATAAATAAGATAGGAATAAAAATTATAAAGTTAATCGTTTAAAGATTAGTCAATAATTTATTATGAAGAAGCAGATGCATCCCCTGGAAATAATTCTGCCGCCGACCATGCAGTATCAGCACAATCCAATCCAAACAAAAAAATATTTTCTCCTGCTTAGTCGAAAATATAAATTGCTACTACTAATACTAAGTTTCACGCTTACAACGTTTTTCATTGCAAGTGTCGAAATATAGATCGGAGTTTTTTTATATGCATTATGTAGGCATACGGTTGTGTCGGATAAAATAATTATATTATCTCTTTTTTTTTATTGTCAACTAGCGACTTAGGCTTAGACTAAAACTAGGTACCTTTTATTTCTTTTTTGAGTGGAGCCCTAATTCTTTTTCTAAAATAAACATAGCCTAAGTTACTCCTTAGAACATCAGCTATCTGCCAGTAAAGTCCCGTCAAAATCAGTCTAGCCGTTTCGGAGATTAGCCGGAAAAAACAGACAGGCAGACAGACTAAAATTGAAAAAAACATGTGTTTTTGTTATAAGTACCAAACATCATTAATGTATTTACTAAAAAGCTGTTATTTGGACATTACAAACAGACACTTTAATTTTATTTGTCTGTATAGATTTATTTCTAACCCATTTTTATCTCAAGGATGAGGATCTCACGCTTAATGGACATTTGTTTTTTGAATAAACATAATTTAGCTACTAGTATAATATTATGTGCTCTTTGATTTAGCTATATTTGTGTGATCTCTCTCCTCCCATATTTTTTTATCTTATCTTCTCTTCTTCTTCTTCTTCTTTGTCTACCCCTCTTCCTAGTTTAGCTGGGGTCGGATCTCCTTGTATAATTGAGCTAGAGAATTCTACTCTGTTGTCTGTGTCAGGTTGTTTTCTCTGGATCTCTTTCTGCATATTTGACCACCAGGTCATTGTGGTCGTCCTCTTCCTCGCAGGCGGTCAGGGATATTAAGAACCTTATGTATCGGATGGTTGTCCGATATTTTTTTTATCTTATCTTTAATTACATTATTAAAAGAGATAGTTTTTTATATAACCACACGTAACCTCGGGTCATATTTAATTTAATGAGCATCAATCAAGTTATTTGATAGGGATAACTTTAAGCTAATAATGACTTACATGCTTAGCTTATATGTATTTTAAGTAACTAAGTACCATAACGTTGTCTTTTAGTCTTCAATTGCAAAAAAAAACTAATTTTTAAATTAATACAACATTTAATAGGTACTTTTGGTATCGAGTGTACTATATTTGGTATACTAACCTAGCTATGTAATTCAATATCGGCTCAGACTTGTACGTCGATCGCCGATCGTTAACAATTTTAGGTCAAAATGTTTTCCATATAATTTTCTAGTACTCAAGCTATAGTACTAATTTCAAACCATCTCTACATATGTATCTTGTTTAAATATTTGTGGACATACTAGCGGCTCACCCTCGGTTCGCTCAGGTTCGCCTCTTGAAAGACTAAACCAAATTTATCCCACGGAAACCGTACATTTTCCAGCGATAAAAATCTTCTGTTGTTATCTTCAAAAATTACTATTATTACTAATTTATTTTCAAATATGTAAGCAAAATATTTGTAACTAGCGGCTCAACCTCGCTTTGATCGAGTTCTAGAGTATATGCGATAGATGTAAGAATCCAGTTAGATAGAAAGAGATAAAATATTATTTTGTCCTCTTTGTGTGATATTCGTTTGAATCATATAGATGCCCTGAGTCTAAATGTAACATTAGGTCCATAAATATGAAATTGGCATTTTATACGGAAAAAGCAAAACGAAAAAAAAATGTGTTTATATATTTAATCAATCAAAGTACCATTGTTATTTATTCGCTTTCCTTATAGTGAACAGATACACAAGCCTAAATTTGCAAAATAAATTGGATTTGGAATTGCTCACCAAACCCCAGATATTTAAGATGAAATGGGCCAGTTCGACAAAACGCTAATTTCATATTATGTAGGTAAGGACCTATTATTGAAATACAAATATCCAATGAAGTTTCACTTCTAACACATTTCCATAGAAAATGGATTTTTTAATTTAATTTCAACTACAATGAAATAAAAATCAAATTAATAAAAAAGAATAGAAATTATCCAGTACCTATTTCTAAAGTATAGGATATAATTTTTATTTTTAGGATAAACTTATCTTAAAGTAAGTTTATCTGTACTTCTTAACTAAATTCATGAATATATATAGTATAAAAAAATAATGGGAATTAGTAAATAGATATATTAAAATTTTGCTACCTAGATAAATTAAAAAATATTTTTCTAAAATAAGTCAAACTTACCGTCTAATTAACATAATAATCGCCATCTATGAACTTACCGTGGAACTAATTTAAAGACGTTACATGTAACTGCATAGATTGTGAAAACTGTTGGTAGCGAGAAATATCTAAATAATATATCGATTTTAATTTTAATAAATTTTATGTAGCCAATATATTTTATACAATACTTTTTCTATTTTTTTTTATTCTCATGTAGTTCTAGAAAATTTAGTGCGCATGCTCCGAATCAGCGATCGAAATACCACAAGCAAATGGAACGCAGCGCGCAAGCTTACTCCCTCACTCGCCCCCTCTCTCTCGCTCCTTTTGTGACATTTTTGCGAAACGTCCACCGCGTTTCCTTGTGGAAATTATTCTAAAAAATCACATTAGGGCATGGTCGGTAAAGTTTTCCAGTTAAAAACCCGTGAAATAAAATCTCTCACCGTGGTTAAGTTTTTTCGTGCCAAGTGCAACTAAACTATCAAGATTCCGCCGATAATTCAAAGCCTACCCAGTGGGTGGCTTAATTCGGTAAGTCTTTACATATTTGCTTTGTATTAACATATATAATATGTGCTTTATCTTGAAACAAATATCAGTAAGTACCTGCCATGTATATTTCATTCCATATTGAAATAGTTAAATTACACAGCTGCACAACATTGTAAAATGGATGACATTACAAGTAATATTTACTGAATTTTCGTTTCTCTTAACTTGTAGAATTTGCTTTTAAAGAATCTTCTAGATTTTGCAATGCAATTTATACATTTGTACGCAATAAATCGGCAAACTAAGTACTTTATTTTACATTGTGACTCAGTTTACGTCATCGCAAAGATATAAGTAGTTGGTGGGTAATGGCAAAGATAGCATTTAAAATATCTATACGGAAAATACTAGAATAAGATCTTTTATTACTTTTTCTTTTGATACGTTATAACATTATTCGTTCTAATTAAATCCTATTTTACTTAGAAATCTTTAAGATATGTTGTATCTAAATATATATCCTGATATTGTAAAACATATTAGGTACATTATTAATATAGTATATTTAAATATAAGAAATTATTTATTTTTAACCCATAGTTATATTGAAAATGAAAAAGCGTGTTTATTTTATTAGTTGTATCTTTTATCTATTTATCTTATTTTCTTTAAAGTCTGCATGCTGTAATATTTCTTGTATTTTTTCTTTTTCCATGTTCAAACACGCTTTTTCGTTTAATTATAGGTTGAAGAATAAAAATGGAAAAGAAAAGAGACAGCTTTTTCCTTCAAAACAAAAAACAAAAACCAGAAAGGAAAGAAAATAAACAAGAATACAAAAATAAAGATAAAAGACAAAAAAAATTTGATGACAATCGTAATGGGTTTGAAGAGCAAAAAATTGAAAGTGAAAAGAAACCATTTGACAAGAAGGCTTATAGATTAAAGAAGTATAGTAAAAAATATAAATTAGAAAAATGGGAAGAACAGCACAAGAAGAGAATGTTACATGAATATCAGAAAAGTATTAAAAATGATCCAATGGCAGGTACTTACAAACCTAAAACATTTGATGAAGACCAGACAGACTCTGCAATTGGTCGGTTTGTAAAACACCCAGACTTAATTGAGAAACAATTAAGTGAAAATGTAAAAAAAAATAAAGATCCATATTCAAAAGCTAAAGACCAGCAAGATAAAGTGAAGCAAGAAAAAATTAAAAAACAACAAGAGATTGAGAAAGTTAAGCAAGAAAAAATGCAAAAGCTGCAAGAGTATAAAAAGAAGAAACATGAAAGATTTAAGAAACTGAGTAAGAAAACTAAGAAAGGTCAGCCAGTGATGACTGGAAGACTGGAACTGTTGTTGGAAAAGATACAAGGCTCCAAATAATAATAAAATATTGTGTTATCTGTATTATCTTTTTAATTTTTATATTTTATATGTATTCTTTCTTAATAATCGGACATTAAGATGCCAAATGTCAATATTTATTTAAAAAAAAACTGGTTTCTGTACTCTGAAATATCTATTACTATCATAGCTAATTTTAAAAATTAACTTTGAATAACTCCTCATAATCATAAAAATATATATTTTTTAGTTTGTGTGTAACTGGTTCTCAACCATGTACTAGGTTGTATGTTTTGTCAAAAAAAGTTAAGTGTAATGCAGGATAAAATAGCTTTCTATAATCAAAAAGATTTTTAATTAGCAATACTTACAGAAGTTCCAGTGAGTCATTATGAATTGTTTTATCTAAGTTTTTACATATTTTAACCATAGATATTTTTTACACTTGTGATACATATCTGTTACAAGTAATATTTTTTGTGTTACCAAGTATTTTCCATCTTAGCTCTTTTTTATTTCAAACAAATAGCTTTTTTCTATATTCCAATCTCCAATAATAAACATGACCTCTTTATTAACTTAAATTTGAATTATACTGATTTATTTTGATGATAATTGTATCAGTAAAAGCCATTACATGGTAAAAAAATATTTAGCCTATAATCTATTTCATTAGAAAATAATAATATCTATCTATAGTCTATACATATACTAACATTCTAACTGAGTCAAATCTGTACATTGAATATTTTTTTGAAAATCTTATTGAAATAGTCATTTTTATCGATACAGAGGCAGAATCTATATATTATCGTTAATGAGTATTTCAATAAGATGTCAGAAAAATATATATTGTACAGATTCAACTTAGTTACAATTTTATTATATATATATTTTGTGATTTTTTGCTCATTTATTATCTTTAAATATTGTACAACATTTATGTAACATTTACATTGTTTATAATGATTATTATCAAATTTTGTGAAATTAAAATTCCACTTTCAAAAAAGTGCCAAATTATACAGAATGTCTGTATGTAACTACTAAAATAGTTTTTAATGTATGAGAATGTTTTTTTACTGATTTATGTCTTAATGAAAAAAATAATGACTACTTATTGAGATCATTGCTGTGAAATTAAGATGAAATTCTTTTGAATATGGCATCCATTTTGTTTCTTACTTTACTGATGTTGTTGTGTTTTTGTGCTTTGTATTTTGGATATTAATAAATAGTAAGTTGATTAACATTGTATATATCTGTTTAATATCCTTTATTATTAATTTATAATTTGGCTATTAAATAAAGCCAAAACTCACTGAATGGAAACATCTGTCTAACTCTAATAAAAAAGCTGTTTTCTTTTTTCATATATTAAATATGAAAAACTTAGCGTATTGTTAATTTGTGTTTAGATTTAAAAAAATCTAGTATTCCTAGACAACAATAGAAATCTAATTTTTATTAGAAAGTTATGTAATTTTTCCATATAAAATATAGAGAGAATTTTTAATTAAACTAAATGTATTTATGATGCTTCCACCCATATTTCATGCAAGTTTTGCCTCTAATACCACTATCATAGATTATTTTCATGTGCCTGACTTTGAAGTAGTAGTGTGATATGAAATAGGCAATAGCCTTGAACCTTCAGAAACATCAATCTCTGAAGTATATATATATATACATTACTAGCATTGCCCGTGGCTCCGCCCGCGTTCAGATGATCAAAAACCAAATTCTTAGGTTTTACATATTAGTATACTCTTATAAAGCAGCTTTTGTATTTTTTCTCAGAAATGAGATATTTTCCCGCTGTAAAAAGTATCCTATATGTTGACCCGGATAACCAGCTATCATCATACCAAATTTCATCAAAATCCCTCCCTTGGTTTTTCCGTGATGCGGTAACAGACAGACAAAAATTCTAAAAACTATAGATTCGGACTCTGTATCGATATTAATATCTATTTCAATTAGATTTTCCAAAAAATATTTAATGTACAGATTCGACTTAGTTACAATTTTATTATATGTATAGATAAAGGCCATAAATTAGAAATATATCAAATTTCACTAATAGTTAAACAAACAAAAAACTCTATCTCTTCAGTTTTACAATAAGTAATGGCAGTATAGAGTATTACATCGGTTGTTTGAAATCGTTGCGTCGTATTGCATTGTTAACTTTTGGACCAAGGTCTTTCAATTTAATCGATATTGTATCTGAAATTTTAAACGATGTTCAATTTAACGATGGCACTTATTCGTTCGACGCTGGACTACGTTAGAATAGTGGCATTATATTTTGTAGAATTTACGGAAAATATTTCTAAGCACCTTATTTTAAATAAGATTCTTTTCGTGATTTTATATTTTTATTTTATCGACGTTTTGGATTTTTTACAACGAATATGGTCAGAGAGAGGTTTTTGCGTCTCAAATGTTATAACTAGCGACTCACCCTCGTTCTCCTGCAATAAAAAGTATCCTATATGTCGACCCGGATAATCAGCTATCACCATACCAAATTTCATCAAAATCCCTATGGTTTTTCTGTTATGCGGTAACAGACAGATAGACAAAAATTCTAAAACTATAGATTCGATAAGAATGTTTATTTCAATAAGATTTAATGTACAGATTCGGCTTGATTACAATTTTATTATAATATGTAATAACATGCATATTTGACACGTCCTATCCAACTTTAACGTCTATTATTATGGAGTGATTGCTTAGATTGTCCATTTGGTTGATTGGAGTGGTTGCATTGACAAAACATTTATATAAAAGTAAAAATATGTTTAAAACTCCGTTTCCTATTAATGTCCCAAACTAAGTTTGCATTGTCACCATATCGTACAACAAAACGTGTTTGGAGACAGCTTAGCACCTACAATATGTTGCAATATGTTTTATGAACTTCAATCTAAATTCTACTAATAAACACTTTTAACGAATATTTGTAGTCAATGCCAATTAATTATATTTAACGATAAAATTTAAATGAAAATTTTGACATTTGTTAAAAAAAAATGTTTTAACGGCACTCGGCAGTGCGAAGTGCGAATGTTAATAGCAACAAAACGCCTCATGAGATAAATTTTATCGACGTGTTTAAATAAAAATCATTAAATACAACTTGAATATTTCATTTCGAGCAAATTAGGTAAGTAAGAAAAGTCCAAGTGTTCGTCTTTTGCACGAATTAAAATGTATCGTGTAAACAATTCGCAGTTTATACGTTTATAATCGAAAAACATGCGTTTGTTGTCATGTCAACGCAGTTTTCTTCGTTTTCTTTAACGTTAGAAAATACGTTTACGGATACCACCGGCGTCGCAGGATCGCTCACGCACTCAACCTAGACGTCCCGACGGATGTTTAAATATCTTGAAAGATCTATATATATAACCTTTGCATAACGCATATCAGAATTACTATCATGATTAACTAAATAAAGTATGTTTTAAAATATAAATAATAACATTTAAACTACGTCCTAACAGATAGCTTCTGACTTGAGATAAAAAAAAAACATGGACATTGCCAATGAGCGTGATTCATTTACGCAAATAATTACATAGAGTCATAAATTTTAATTAAATGGAGTAATAAAAAAATCGATTAGATAATCTCTTCGTTGCAATGTATGAGATTGGATCTAGACTCGAGATATGTAAATAGTGGTATATATTATTGTGTATGTATGTTATAAAACTCTTTGGGGGTAATTTTGTTTCTTCTTTGAAAACTCGAGTTCTTAATGTATGGTAGAACAAGGTAGTTTTAACGAGTTTTCGTTTAGTTTAGTTTTACAAGAAACGTAGGTGGGTTAGGTTAGAACATTTTGAACGTCCATGCGTAATCGTGGTTTGCGAATGTCAAGGGTTTTGGAAATCATTTTTAATCCCTCAATGACCGCGGACACGCCGGCGTTACAGTTAACAATAGGTTTGTTAGAAATTTAATTAGTTTCTTAGAAATTTACCTGGAGGTGGGTACAGAAACGTTTTGTCAAAAAATAAGAGGAGGTTAGAAGAATTTATTTTATTTTACGTGTGCTTGTACATATTTAGTATTTGACTTGAGAAGAAAATCGGAAAAAACATCCAAATCCTGGCTATTACCAAGGGTGGATAAACGGGCACGATTTCGAGTTTCCACCTTAGGGTGGCTATACGAAGTAACCAAATGAAATTCTGAAAAGTATGATAAATATAGTGGTTGTAATAACATAATTGTTTAAAAAATGGTAAAAAGCCTATCATCCAATAGTATCTACAGACTAAATGGCTCCGACAATTCACTGTCTACAATGTTTATGATATATGGCAATGATAATAACTGCTATGATAAAAGACGCTAGAAAGATAACGTATCTAATATTTAAATCACATGTGCAAATTAATTTTTATCACTGCTCTTATTTATTTAACAATTATACCAGTGTTCTTGGAATTGTAGACAATGTATTATTTTATTCATTCTAGGTACTGTGACTAGCATTTGCCAGTAGCTTTGCTTGCTTAGTTTGTGGATAATTTTTCCACTCTTAAAGATCGTAGCGATATGCAAGATAATCTATAGTTTATACTTTATACCTTTAACCGCCATGTTTTAGTATCCCTAACTTTCACCCAGCGCTTCAAGTCTAGGTATAGTTTAAGAAATTTTTGTTGACAACCCTGCCTGGGTCGTGTTTGTTAATATGTTATATGGTATAAAAAATATATTTCGTTTGGAAAAAAATGAGAAATCTACTACATAGATCGCGATCTTATTAGGTATATTACGTCGTCTAGGGCTTGACTAAATTGTGCGGGTACTTCAGTTTTATATTATTCAAAGATGTTTGGGGAATCACCCGATATAAGATAAAAAAAAGTCGGTCGGTGTCGTGGGACATCCGGTAGAATCGATTTTTTCGCTGTCATTTTTTTCCATTTACCTCTTATTCGCGTATTGAGCTGAGTATAACGTGCTAATATAATAGCACTCTCGAGCCCTTACATTGTGTATTAATATAG